GAGGCTGAGGCAAGGGAATTGCTTGAGCCCAAGAGTTTGAGGTTGCTGTGAGCTATGACAACCATGGAGGTGACAAAGTGAGACTCTGTCTCAAAAAAAAAAAGGCTCGGTGCCTGTAGCACAGTGGTTACATCTCTGTATTCAACTAAGGCTGGCAGGTTCAAATCCAGCCAGCTAAAACAACAGTGACAACTGCAACAAAAAAATAGCCAGGCATTGTGGCAAGCGCCTGTAGTCCCAGCTACTGGGAGACTGAGGCAGGAGAACTGCTTGAGCCCAAGAGTCTGAGGTTGCTGTGAGCTATGGTGCCATGCACTCTACCGAGGGTGACATAGTGAGACTCTTTCTCAAGGAAAAAAAAAAGAAAGAATAGACTAGTGGTGTGAAACCCATATTTGAGAGTTGGTGAGTCTGTATTGCATTAGATCGGTGCCCCTTTTATAGAAAATCTTGGTTGTGCTTTTCCTAAGGGCTGTGGTGAGTGTGGTTGTTATTATCCTTGACCGTGGCCCAGAGTTCCTCTTGCTTGAGAATGTGGTGCACCACTTTAAGTACCCCTGTGTGCTGGATCTAAAGATGGGAACCCGGCAACATGGTGATGATGCATCAGCCGAGAAGGCAGCCCGGCAGATGAGGAAGTGTGAGCAGAGCACATCAGCTACACTAGGTGTCAGGGTCTGTGGTATGCAGGTGAGTCACTTACGGTGAGAGCCTAGATGCTGCTGCTTACATGTTTTGGATTGTGCCTATACCTGCCCGCCACCCATGCCTACCTATATTGGCCTGTAATCTCCTATGAGAGGGATAAGTCCCCAACAGGGTACTGAGCCTGTCCTTGGAAGTGTATTCCCTGAGCCTTCTTGTCTTTATCTGGTCTTCAGGCACAGGGCCAGTGTGAGAGCCTTCTGCTTCAATACTGGGGCAAGTAAAACTGTTGTCTGTCGACAAGATATTCCTAGTTAATAGTCTAGCTGGGCCCTAGGGCAGCTTGGAGGAGGGCTTCAGAGGTGATGGCAGGGAACCCATAGGCCTGGAGTTGGTTTTCTCTTGGCTCTACAGGGGAAACCCAGGGAGAATGGGCCTGCCCTGCTCCACTTGGAAGGATACGCAGAAAAGTTCAGGTTTATCAGAGTGCCTTCCAGGCAGCACTTTCCCAGGGCATGATGAGGTCATCAGATTTCCCTGGTACTACTCACCCTATCTTATCTCCTGGGATTTCAGGTGTACCAGCTGGACACAGGGCATTACCTCTGCAGGAACAAGTACTACGGTCGTGGGCTGTCCATCGAAGGCTTCCGCAATGCCCTCTATCAGTATCTGCACAATGGCCTGGACCTGCGACGTGACCTTTTTGAGCCTATTCTGAGCAAACTGCGGGGACTGAAAGCTGTGCTAGAGCGGCAGGCCTCCTACCGCTTCTACTCCAGTTCCCTGCTTGTCATCTATGATGGCAAGGAGTGTCGGTCTGAGATGCGTCTCAAGCACCTGGACATGGGGCTCTCTGAGGTGGCATCATCTTGTGGCCCTAGTACCAGCCCCAGCAGCACCAGCCCTGAGGCAGGTCCCTCCTCACCACCTAAAGTGGATGTCCGCATGATTGACTTTGCACACAGCACATTCAAGGGCTTTCGGGATGACCCCACTGTGCATGATGGGCCAGACAGAGGCTATGTATTTGGCCTAGAGAACCTCATCAGCATCATGGAACAGATGCGGGATGAGAACCAGTAGGCCCCGTTCTCGGAGCCTAGAAACCCCTTCCTCTCCACCCGCAGGCAGGGACCATTGCTCTGAACTCACCGTGAGGACACACAGACTTGCTTTTAAAGGGTTATATTTCTCTTTGGTGTAAACTAAAAGAAATGTTTTTAGCTGTAGCCTGGAATCCATATATATAAAGTGAAGGAGGGCAAAATATATGTCCTCTCTGCCAGGCTCCTTAGTTCTATGGCTCTGACTGCTGTGTCCTGGCTGACTTAGTGAGGAAGAGGTGCTCCTGGTGGGCTTGACAGCAGGGACAGGATGCCCTTGGACATCGGTTTTTCTTACCTAGGTCTTAGGGGTCTGTGGCTGCAGGGCCCTCCTAATTGTCAGGTGAAGCCCTGGGCTGGTGCAGGGTCCCCCTCCTCCCCACCCCCCGTTTCCCCCCACCATGCCCACTTATCCCTTTTTCCTCAGAAGTAGAAGGGATTTGGCTCCCATCTCTTGGGGGCTTCCCAGTTTTGTGGTGTGGATGTCAGTTAACTCTTTAATAGATGCCCTCAGGGCACCACAGTCTTGCACACAGCTGGATCTATCCTTCTTGGGTTTGACCTTAGCGTGGGACTAGATTAATGAAGCTGGGCTAAAGCCAACTCTTGGCAGAGGGCAGGCCCTAGGTTCCATAGGCACCTACTAGCACGAGAACCTCCTCTGCCTGCAACCTCAGCCAGCTTCTCTCACCAAGATCCCTTGCCTAAGGAGGCACCCCTTTCTGCCTCACTGAAGGGAGTCACAGCTCTGTTTGCCAAGAAGAATGGGTATCCTAGTATGCCTCAGGGCCTCTCGTGGCTCTGGCCCAGACAGTATTTGCAGTTCTTGTGTTGTGGGTGGGAATCTTCCTCCTCTAGTTTGGGCAGCTGTGCTGCCACTGGATGGGGTTCTCCCAGGGCTCTAGGGCTGTGGTCCACTCAGGGTCTCACATTTCCACAGGCCAAGCTCAAGGCAGCAGCCCTTTGTGAGGCATTCCAGGACCTGGGCCTGGAAGGAGAACTTTAAGCTTGTCTGTTCATAGGGACATTGTCTGGGCTCTAAGTTCAGGTACTCAGATTCTTCTAATGAGAGCTTTGTCTGATGAATCCTGGGGTTCATTAGTTTATCTGTGTGTCCACCTGCCATCCCCCATCTTTTAAGATCCTGCCCTAGAGTGTAGCCTTGCTCATTAGTGCATATTGATTTCCTCCTTGATTTCCTCAGCAAAAAACTCTTATTTCTGAGGTGAGCTTTTGTCCCTTTGCCCTCCCTCTGCAGGTGCTACCTTTTTATAAAGACTTGGTAGCAGAAAGAATTGTAGGTGGAGTTTCCCTGCTGACCCAGCACCTTTCTGTGGGCCTCAAGTATGACCCTCAACACTGACAGTGGGGCAGTTAAGGCTCAAGGGTTGACTCTGCATTCTCATGTTTTTTGTCATTTTTGCTGCCAGCCCTTAGTGGCACAGAAACCTCTAAAATAGGATGTGACACTGAACTCAGCCATTGCCAAGGTTAATACCCTGTTTTCTGAGCCTAGGGTCAATGTCATTGTCACTTTTGGTAGGTTCCTGTTGTAGCATTAAAAGTAAGCCAGCTAGCCTGTGTCTGTGAGAGGCCTTGGTAACTGATAGAATAATTTGCAGCCTCTTAAATGGACTCCTTACATGAGAGAGTGGATCCCATCTCTCAGTCCTCTGACCCTGGTGCCAGTCTGGGGTAGGTTCCCATTCCTTGGGCCTGGGAGGTGCAACTTGTCTGTTTCTGGTCAAAAATGACCACTTCTGTGCTATACCATTTTGTGGCTTCAGTCATGGGGGTGGTAGCTGTTAGACAGTCATTCCCTGGTAGGCTAGAGGATAAAACAAAGGCTTTGGAGCCATTCAGGACTGACTGGGGGTGTCCTGTGCCTCCCAAGTTCTAGATTATGGGAGCAAACTTTTCCCCACTCTGTTGCTCCTCACAGCAAGGGAGCATGTCCCCACTTATATAGTGTTTGGCAGTAAAGAGTGGAAAGGCCTGGAATTTGCTGCTTCTCCCCCAGGGCAGGGCCCCTCTTTTCAGCACTTTGAACCTGGAGACCCATCCTTGTTATCTGATGGTGATGGGCAAGTGGGTGTGCATACTTAACTGCCACTGCTCTTTTTCCCTGCCCTGGGTCAGAGGGCCCTGTCCCTGCCAGACCCTGCCTTCTCAGCCCTAACTTGGGACCAAAGTGCAACAATGGGATCATGGGTTTGGAGGTGCCGAGGTGACTCCTCTCTGTTGTGCTTCCCTGGGCCAAGTCCACACCAGCAGAGGGAGGGGAGGCGTGATAGGTGGTGCTTAAAAGAGGAAGGGGACCACTATAGCTAGGGACCCCTACCCCCTTCTCCCTCTGTGGGCCTATGCAGTGGGCGTGGGGATTCCCACCAAGGGGCCAGGGGGTCCTGTGCTAGTTCAGTTGCCGCTGTTCATGCTTTCACACCTGGCCACATGCACGTTCCCTAGATTCAGATTGCTTTGAACTTTAAAGCCGTACAATTTGGTTATGTTTGTGCCGATTTAAATAACTTAATGAGAAAAAAAAAGGACAACCCTAGGAAAGGCTTAATTCTTTCGCTTCTCGGGGAACTGTAAGACCTCGCGTTCTGTGAATCGCTCCCTGCTGCCCTTTCCTGGAAGCCAAGCCTGTCCACACCGGCCGGCAGAGGCCTGCATCACGTGGCTCCGGCCGTAGTTGCGCATTTTCTCAGAAGCTTGCGTGTGGGGGAGGGGAGTGCTTGGGCTGAGCCCTCCCCTTTCTGTACACCTGGCGCTGCCCACCCTGCTTGTGTCTGAGGTCTTGTATGTCAAAATAAAGCCGCTAGAAACAGTCGTGTTGGTGTCCTTGTGAAAATCCCGCGACTTCCGGGCAGTAAGGCTCGCAGCCTGCTGAACCAACCTACGGTCCCAGGGCCCTGCACCGCCCTAGAATACAGGGGGCGAGGCGGGCGGGGCGGGGCTGGAAACCGCCGTTCCGCGGACAACCCAAGAACCTGTAGGAAATTAGGCTTCGCCCTTGGCGCCAGTTCCGCCTTTGGATCTGCCAATGTGCTGCTGACCCGCTGGTTCCGGCCTCGGTTTCCATGGCAGCCTGGCGAGCTCAGGCTCTCATTGGCTACGTCTGACGCAGCGACTTGCCTCCACCGTCGGTCGCGGGCGGCCGTGCCACGTATACAGCAACCTATTGGCCCACCGGGGTTACGTCACTGCCCGCGCCATGTCCGGCCGGAGTTGGGCTTCTGTCCTATATCCTGCGTCGTGTTGGTGGGTTGTGGCTGCCCCAGATCCGACATCAGAACAACCGGGAGGACGAAGTGGAACTAGAGTCGGTCAGTCAGGCTGGTGAAGGGCGCGGGGCCGAGGATGGCGGTGGGAGTGTGTGGCAGGGGATGGCCTGGCAGGCGGCAGGTTCCTCGGAGGAACCTTCCACCTCGAAGCCCAAGACTCTCCCGTCGCCCGCAGGCTCGATGAAGGCACTGATCTTGGTGGGCGGTTATGGGACGCGGCTTCGGCCGCTGACGCTGAGCACCCCGAAGCCACTGGTGGACTTCTGCAATAAGCCCATCTTGTTGCATCAAGTGGAGGCACTGGCCGCGGTAATGTCCGGGATTGGGATCTGGGTCTTGGTTGTACCTGGCTGGACAAGGGACGGACAGCTAGCACTGGGGGTTAGGAAGGGCCGTACCTTCCAACTGAGCCCGCCTGTTGGCCTGCGTTCTGTCCGGCAGGCAGGCGTGGACCACGTGATCCTGGCCGTGAGCTACATGTCACAGGTGTTGGAGAAGGAAATGAAGGCGCAGGAACAGAGGGTGAGGCACGGACTCTTGGCCCTTGTTCTTGGTCTTTGCTCACCTTCCCAACTTGGTAGGTGAATCTGACTGGGACCTTCTTCATTCCAGTTGGGAATCCGAATCTCCATGTCCCATGAAGAGGAGCCTTTGGGTACAGGTCAGTAGAGACAGGAATATCCTTTGGAGTGGTTAGGGCCAGGCAAGGGGTAAGACCCATCCTGGATTGGGCCCGCTGAGCCTGAACCCAGGAATTCAGGACCCTAGCAAGGTGGTGACCTGCTCTTTCCCCCTAGCTGGGCCCCTGGCACTGGCCCGTGACCTGCTCTCTGAGACTGCAGACCCTTTCTTCGTCCTCAATAGTGACGTGATCTGCGATTTCCCTTTCCAAGCCATGGTGCAGTTCCACCGGCACCATGGCCAGGAGGGCTCTATCCTGGTAAGAGACCAGATCTTCCATCTCTTTTGACATTTCCACCCCTCTGCCTAGCCTTCCCTGGCCCTCAGACTTGAACTACCCTCTTATGTTATGGATGCAGAGCTGTGCAGTTATTAATCTTTAAGCATTTGGGGAAGAGTCCCTGAGATTTGGGACAGCATGCACATCAAAGCTCAGGAACACTGGACTAGGCTTGAGGTGCCTCTGCATTCAGGTGACCAAGGTGGAGGAACCCTCCAAGTATGGTGTGGTGGTGTGTGAGGCTGACACAGGTCGAATTCACCGGTTCGTGGAGAAGCCACAGGTATTTGTGTCCAATAAGATCAACGCAGGCATGTACATCCTGAGCCCTGCAGTGCTACAGCGCATCCAGGTGTGTAGGAGACAACTTCTGGGTGGGCTGGGGTGGGGCAGGCCATCACCACTATGACCCTGCTCATGAGCTGCCCACTCCCACAGCTGCAGCCTACATCCATTGAGAAGGAGGTCTTCCCTGTTATGGCCAAGGAGGGGCAGCTATATGCCATGGAGCTGCAGGGTGAGGCAGGGAGGCCACAGGGTGGGGGCGGTCTGTGGCTGGGCTGAGCCCCCTGATGCATCCCTCCCTACAGGCTTCTGGATGGACATTGGGCAACCCAAGGATTTTCTCACTGGCATGTGCCTCTTCCTGCAGTCACTGCGGCAGAAGCAGCCTGAGCGACTATGCTCAGGCCCTGGCATTGTAGGCAACGTGCTGGTGGTGAGGCCCTTGCTCAGCCCATCATAATGCCCTCAGTCTTGGGAGACAAATGGCCCACTTTTAATTTTCTCTACTATTCTCAGGACCCAAGTGCCCGCATTGGCCAGAACTGCAGCATTGGTCCCAACGTAAGCCTGGGTCCTGGTGTGGTAGTGGAGGATGGTGTGTGTATCCGGAGGTGTACAGTGCTGCGGGATGCTCATATCCATTCCCATTCCTGGCTGGAGTCGTGCATTGTGGGCTGGCGCTGCCGTGTGGGCCAATGGGTAAGCCTGCGGGCTAGGCTTAAGTGGGGAGATCAATAGGGAGTGTGCCTGCCTCACTGACGAGACTTATCCTCTCTCTCCAAGGTTCGCATGGAGAACGTGACAGTGCTGGGTGAGGATGTCATAGTTAATGATGAGCTGTACCTCAATGGAGCTAGTGTGCTGCCACATAAGTCTATTGGCGAGTCTGTGCCAGAGCCTCGCATCATCATGTGAGGAATGCTGTGGGGCTGGCTGAGCCCTGGTTTTCCAATTGTTAGGGGGAACACTGGCCTGATACATCAGAAGACCCTGGACTTGTTGCCATTTGGGCAGGATTGGATGAGGCTGAAGCTGGTGGACACCTGCCTTCTCATGTGAACATAATCTGGCAAAACCTCTGCTGGGCACCCTCCACAAACGCTACTCCCTCAAGAAGGGCTGGGACCAGGGCTGTGTGGAATAATAATTTAATGCTCACTGCGGCCCTGACTGAAAGTCAAGCTCAGACACAGTTAGGACTGTGACTGGGCTCCCACCAATGAAGCTATAGGCAGGCAAGAAGAGGATGGATGTGGTGGGGATGGGAGTGTTATAGGTAGCAGGGCAAAGGGAGCTCAGAAATTGGGCCCAGCCCGGGCCTGGGTTCAAAGATGAAGGTTCCAGTGTGTTGCAGGCTGTAGGGGTTAGGCAGCTGAGGAGGTGGTACTTGTACTGGCTTTTTCCCAGTCCTCTACAGACATGATGGTGGCTTTGCAGAAGAAGCAATCCTTGTTGTTCATCAGGTGCTGGTTGATGCAGGCTCTACAACAGTGGAGGGGTGAGGGCTGTCCTGTGTGTTCCTACTGCTCTCCCCCCACCAAGCCCATGGAGTCTACTTACTTGCAGGACTTGTGGCCACAGGGCTGGAACACAGCAGAGATGGGGTGGGCATAACAGATTGGGCAGAGGTCCTCCTCACTGGTGGGCTGCAGGGAGGACAGCAGAGGGTGAGTTGGAATTGGATGTCCAGATAAGTGGATGTACACTGTGCCCACCTAGGAGTGCACACATGTTCAAATAGCATGGACCTTTGTGTATACTCTGGTCCCACTCACCAAGGAGGCAGCTGCTGCCTGGGCAGATGCTGAGGTCAAGTGTGCCAGCATCTGTTCTACCTCGGCCAACTCTTCAGCACTGATATAATCCGTATCTGGGGAGTGATAGGTAGTGTCAGGCCGAATGTGGCCCAAGAACCCAGTATCCCTTGAATATTCCCAGCTTGGGAATTTGCCGTTCTCCAGGCACCTGACCGCCTTCCCCACCCCACTCACAGCTCTGCAGGGAGAAGTGCTTCCGGTCAGGGACTGGCAGGGCAGTGCCAGGTGCTGGGGCCTCTGGCAGCCCCAGGAGATAGGATATTGAGCGGAGCTGAAAGCAGGGATCTGCCAGAAGCACTGATGTGGCTCTCTCTGTCCTAGGTAGGGGAGAGTGCAATGGTAGTCAGAAGGTTTTGGGGCCTGTCTGAAATTAATCTCTACCAGGGGGAAGAAAGTGCCATGACGTGCATTTTTATCTCCTTTTGTCCCTCAAATCTTGCTTATCAGACCCCCAGTAAGATCCCACCCAGCCTAGTTAACAGTTTAAGAGGGCTTAGGGGAAGCCACCAAATTAATCCTTTTAAAAATTACTTAAAATAAACACAAAAAACATTAACCGAAGCTTAGAGATATTCTTCCCACACTTTTCCTCAGAGAGGAGAGCTACCGGAAGCTGCTGCCCAAAGGCAAGCTGGGACACTAGGGTCGGATTAGTGTCCTCTCTGACAGCCACAGGAGACCGGTTAGCTCTAAGACGC